AATAGTTTTTTTATTTATAAAATATCTTTCTCAATATTCAATGAAAAATTAAAATTATAATAATGCTATTTAAAATTAATAACTTCAAAATTTTTCAAATGCATATCTAAAAAGCTTATAATATTCACAAAAGTCATATCATTTAATTCAAATATATATACCAAAAATAGATCAATATTGTGATTCATTATTGCAATTTCAACAAGATATTTAGGTATGTTAAGTTTTATTCTTTAATTATAAAATTTATATATTGACTTAATTTATCTTATATAATTATATAGGTTTAGTCAAATACTTTATAATTAATAAACTAGAGACTAATGCAAAAGCACTGATTTTTATACAAAAAAAGATAAAAAAAATATTATAAATAAAACTTCTAGAACACTTAATCATTCAGAATTAACCCAAAAATAAAATTAACTAGGGATTTAAATCTAACTAAAGCTCATCCTAAAAAAAATCCAATAATTAAATTAATTTGATTTCTTATGTAGTTGATTATTACAATCAAAGTTTATATAAGGACACAATAAGGTAATATAGATTTTTATTTATTAATTATTTTCAATTTATTTGTTATTATATTTATATCTTACTATCTTATATAATAAAGCTAGAAATTAGAACTTTACGTATATAAACTTAAAAGTCTAACTTGATTGATAAGAGTCTAGCTATGACATATGATACTTATAATTGATATAATAATTATTTTTGATATTTTTGACATATTTTTTTATTTTCAACAACAACAACCAATAATTCCCAAAGTGCAGAATCTGATAATTTGTTTTCTTAATATCACAATTTTAATAATTCAGCCAAGTAATTATTTTAAATTATAAATTATATATTATGAAATCATTTAAATATATATATTATATTTTCACTAAATTATTTTAAAACAATTTAATTTAAGCAGATGGCTCAATTCTCAAATTTATTTTATAAAATTGACAGATAATTTATATTATGATAGTGATTAAAGTAAATAACATCAATATATTTATCTTTGATAGTAGTTGTTTATATAAAATAACAAGCTTGATAATTTTTTTTATTTAAGAAAATAAAAAATAATCAATTAATAAAAAAAAGCTCGATATAAGCAGACCAAATAGAAAATTCAAATTTTTTGTTTTTCAAATTATTCATTTATTCTATTTAAGTAATTTGTAAAGAACAGGTATATATGAATCTTAGAACTCTAGACTACTTTGTAATAATAAATTGAATGTTAGAAATAGTGTATTTTTTTTAAGAACATTAGTAAACCATTTATTTTTATTTTTTCTTTAGATAAATATACATTTTTAGCACTTTATCATGGATAAAAATGGTAATAATTTTATTTTTATAAGTAAGCTAATTCTCTTATTGTTATAGGGAATCTTCAAATAATGGACTTTCTGAATTTTGTTTAAAAAAGCTGATTTAACTAGCGATAGAAATAAATCTGATTCTTTATAATTTTACAATGAACTTATTTGCAATTTATATACTGTAGTAATTAATTAAACTGTGTTAATATTTAACAGGTTGTATTATTAGTTTTGAATTAGATACACTAATTATATAATAAATTAAAATTTAAATAAAATATTTTTATAAATAAAAGAAATATCCGTTTGATATATTAGTTAGCATAATCTTATGTTACTTTATAATTAGCAAGTAAATATAATATTCTTGACAAATAAATTTTTTTTAAAAATTCTGAAATTGAATGAGTCCTTTACAGTCATAATAGTTGTCTAATTTCAAAAAAGTTTAAAATTAAGTGATAAAATAAAATAAAATAAAGAAATCAAGATAAATGTAAAGATTATATTGAATATTAAAATTATATAGAAAGTTTGATATTAAAATCATATCACAGATTATATGATTTACTATATTTGTATATTCAGTTTTAATAGATAACCTCCCATATACCTAAAATTATTATCATTATTAATATATAACTAGAGTTTGCAGTTTGCAGAAGACTTCATCTCCCATTTAGTATTAAATAATTGATTATATAACCAATTCAATTAAACTTTAAAATTTCATTTACTGTATAAAGTAGATTTCTTTAATATTATATGTTTCATGTTCTTATATGTAAAAATTTTAAATAATAAAAATGATTGTATTACCATATGAACGCATGAACATGATCATTATCTTTTAAAATTGATCATATAACTAATCTGATAACTTAGTTAATGAATTTGTTTATTGATGTAAAACTACTAACTGGTTAGTTCATTTATATAAAGTGCCTATTAAGAGTTCTTTTTAAAATCGTAAAAATATTCAATTATACAAGTGATTAATGCTTACTATCAGTTCTTGACTAATCATTAAATCAATGTTAAATCTTTCATCATCTAATTAAAGAACTTTTCCTTAATAAGTTTGATTGTTCAGATTTTTGATTGAGTTCTAAGTTGATAATTATTGGCAGATAAAATTGTGTAACTTGATCAGCAATTTATTTTTTTTGAGTAAAAAGTGGAAATTTTTTGATCATATAATAAAAACAAATAGTTAATTAATTTTTGTTAAAATTTTTTACGATCAGAATCCCTAAACTCAATTCTGAATTTGATCACATATTTGGATTATTAACGGATTTTGTAACTAAAAACCCAAATGATCAGAAACAAATAAGCCTAATATCAAATCATTTCATCACTATTTTCATTATAATTTTATCTCACAAATAATAGAATCTCTTAGAAATGAAGAATCAATTTCTTTTTAAAATAAAAATTATATAGTTACTTTTAATGGAACTATTTGCTTATATTACACAAATATTTCATGTTCAAGATGAATATTACCTTATCTTATTATTAAATACAATATAGTATAAAAAACTATAAAAAAAGATTTATTATTATAGGTGTAAATTTGTGAAATGAGTTGAAAGACTGGCTTATCTTATTTTCTTTTTTTTTCTATTGTTTAATACTTTTATTTTTTTTATTTTTTTAGCTCTTGATTCAGTTCTATTCAATCAATCTATCATGGTAAAATAAGTAACAGATTTTTTTATTTCTTTTTTTTTCCTATTATTTTAACGCTTTTATTTTATTTATATTTTTTCTAGCTCTTAATCAGATTTCATCTGATCGATCTATTACAGTAAAATAAGTGACAGATTTTTTTATTTTTTTTTTTCTATTGTTTTAATGCTTTTATTTATTATTTTTTTTCTAGCTTTTGATCAGGTTCTGTCTGATCAGTTTATTGTGATAAAGGTAAGGTTTTTTTTGTATTGTATTGGATTACTAATCTTTTTTTTTATTTTCCTTTTTTTATTTAGACAATTTTAGATTTAAACTCAGATTTCAATTGTATTATTTAAATAAAGGTAAGTTGCAAATTTGTATTATTTTTAACATTATTTTGGATTACTAATTAATTTGTCTTTTTAATTTAATCAATCAAATTAGTGACCAATTGCATCTTGTCTACCCTTAAAAAGTTGAGCTTAAATTTTTATATATATTTTTTTGATTTAATAAAAGGTGTTGATCAGTTACGCCATTATAGATCCTTTTTTTACAATATCTATTAATTATATTATATAAACCAATTTTAATTTTTTAAAAAAGGCTAAATTAGAAATATAAAAATTTATAAAAAAAAAATACAGATATTTTTTTTTGATATATAAAGAACTTCTGTTTCATTAAAACATTACAGTAAAACAGTATACAGAAATAGTATAATAAATTACTGTAATAGTATAACAAAATACTGAAATAGTATAACAAATATAGTAATAGTAAACAGTAATAATGTTTTATTAAAAATGACATCAAGATTTTTTTAAAAATCATTCCTTTTTTATATATTACAAGTCAATGATTAGTGGTAATATGAATACAATTTTCCTGTTAAGTCAATTACTTATCTTTTTATATTAGTCAAATATTTTTTTTATCAATCAAAATGTATATTTTGTTAAATAAAATAAATACATTACTTGATTTTTTATCACTAAAAAAGTAATACTTCAAAAATTATGATTTTTTCTAATTTTTAATAATCGTTATGAGAGGTGATTTTTGAGAAATCATTAGAATAACCTTTTTATAAAATGTTGTTTGAAATTTCTGATAACAAAATGTTATCCTATCGTAGCTCATGATATAAAAAATTGCCTATCAGAAAGAAACACAGCTACTATTGAACAAGTATACGGATGTAGTATAGCAGCTGGCCTTTATCTAAATAGATATCAGCTTTTATTTCTTTATCTCTAAAATTATATGAGTGTACTTTGAGAAATATGTTCTTTCTTTGACATAAATTTTTAGTATTAGTTCTTTTAGATAGCCATTTTATGTGTATCTACTGCTATCACATCATCCTATATTAAGCAAAATACTTTTATCAGCCTATTAAACCATAATTGAGCCTTTCCATCAACTGATTTATATTTTGTATTCAGATAAATTTGGCTGATTCAGAGATTTTAATAGTTTATTAGTTTAGAAATAAAAGAAGTATTTGATGGTAACTTATTTAAAATTTGTACTTTTATAAATTTCAGACTGCGTTATTGAATCTATGAATATAAAAAATGTTAAAATGAAAATAAGCATTACGATTTAAGAGTGTATTATCTTATGTAGTAACTCTTATTTGTCTATATTTTCTGTTTGTTGATTTTGTTGCATTATCTGTTTTTCTATCAGAATTTTTCATTTTTGATAAGGTAGTGATATCTATTATTACATTTGTAACTTCTTTTATAATCTTTTTCAGATCATCTTACTTATCCTCTTAGTATCTGCCTTTACAAAAAAGGTCAAATGTGAGAAATACCTCAAGATATAATAATCAGATGTAAAACAAAGGCAAAATGGTTAAATATGAATTTAACAACTAACTTCTTAGTTGATGTATAAAGGAAATTACATAATAGATCACTAATTCAGAATTGTAGACTTTATCAAAAAGTCGTGTTAATAGTTCATATCTAATTTGGCTACTTAACAGAGATGCAGAGCTTTACCTCTCCATGAGGACGAATCTAATAAAAAGCAAAGAGTTAGGTAAAAAAAACTACCTATTGCTACTTACAGAGAATACAATACTCACCTTCATCAGGACGAACCCTATAAGGAATGTAAGAAGCTACCATATAGTCTATATTACACAAATTTAACTAATCTTCTTTATGTTTAAAAGCTATTTAATCTTGTTAAAACTTCTGAAGAATTTTGTATCATATGAACTCCTTGAATAATGAGCATGCCTTATATATAATACGAAAAAATAATCTGCATGATTTTGTATTATCAAGATACTTTCATTGGATAAATCATGATCAAATTTTTGGTTTGAATTCACTTTTATAATTTTTTTTGATCTACAATTGTAACAGAAAAGGATAAAATTAATATAGAAATGGTTGATAATTTTTTTAAAACAAAGCTTTCGTATCATATTTAAATGCAATGTCTTTTATTGCTTTGAATTGTCAGTCAATCATTCTAATAACAATATTGTATCCAATGATATATTTATCAATTGAATTAATTAAACATATAATTATAAATATTATAATTATAAAAATATTGTAGAAGTTCTTAAACAACGATTTAAATAATTTTAGATTAATATTTTTTAGTTGATCTAAAAACAATAATAACTTTAAAAAATTAACCTTTTTTAGGTATTTTATGTAAAGATAATTTAAAATATGGAATAAAATATCAAATTTACTTCAAAAATGAAAACACAATATTGTTAATTTTGAAAATGAATACTATAATTCTTGTAAATTTTATATGTTAGTAATTTATAAATTAATAATTAATTAAATAATATTATTTTAGAATTGTGTTCTATTACTATTTAGTATTAATAAAAGAACAAAGTTTTATGTAAATAACAAATTGCTTAAATAATAAATAAAAAATAATATATCATATTTATAATTTATTTTTTAAAAGAATATTAAATTTTACAAATTGTTATTTTTAAAAAATGTTAGGTAATAGAAATCAATATGCTAATTGTATATATTTCTATTAAAAGTAGTAAAATTTATAATAAATATTTTTTAATAAATAAATTTTCTTATTAAAGAATTTGAATAAATATAATATTCATTATTTATTTATTATTTTTGAATAGTTATTATTAAATGTTAATTATTTATTTATAAAAAATTAATTTAATCTTTTACTAATATAAATTATGATAAAATTTTTAAATAATAATTTAAAATTAAATTAATTAATTAATTAGTTGATTAAATAATTAATTAATTTGTTATCTAGTTAATTTAATTTTAATTTTAATTTAATTTTTAATCAAATTAAGATTTTATAATTACAAAAAATTTATTAGCTTATTTAAATTTATATTACAATTAGAATTAAATTTAATAATTAATTAACTGATTAAAAAAAAAATAATAATTAGCTTTTATTATATTTAAATTTTTAAAATAGTTTAATTTTATATAATTTGTAAAATTATAATTTAAAATATATTATTAATATTATATTAATAAGTATAAATTCTGATTATTTAAGAATATTTTTAAATTGGTTTTTTTTTTCTTTTTTTTTATCTTGTCAATAATATTCTTCTGTTTTCTTTTTCACCTTTTTTTATTACGAATATGTCAAGTCAGAAATCAAATAAAGTTTTTTGTACATATTTTAAATGTCGTCAAAAAGATATTGAAAGAGGAATTAAATATTCATATCAAAATCTACAAGAACTAGACATCGTAGACAAGATTATGAAAAGCCACATATCTCAGATTCTATCTTAAGTTCTAGTTCTAATTCTGGATCATCAGTTTTAAGTTTTTCAGATGTTAGTTCTAGTTCAGAAAGTGAAATAGTTCAATTATTCAGATTTAATGGACTCTCGAACGATATTAGATGTAATTTCATAATAAATTATTGAACAATATCTCAGGAATTATTGAAGAAGTGATGATTACTAATAAAATTAAATCAGAATTTATGATCGATTTGCTATCTGTATCAGAGGATTCAAAAGCTAAATCTACTTTGAGTTCTACGCTGTCTATATCAGAGGATTCATATGATATTTCAAATTCTATACTATCTGTATCAGAAGACTCATCTGATAATATATCTGGCATGATATATATATTATATTATTGTTATTTTTTTTTTGGAAATATTATAATTATTTTTTCATTTTTTATACTTAGACTTAGACTTTAATGAAGGAATAAAATTGTCAGACAAATTAGTTTATGTATTAAGATTACTCAAAATCAAGGCTCATCATAATTTAACAAATGATGCATTTTGTCAAATAATAATAGCAGTTAATAGTAGTGATACTAGCTTTCATCAAATAAAAAGTATGTTAAAATCTATAATGCCAATAATGCTAATATAGGTAGATATGTGTTTTAATTCTTGTTATGCATATACCAGAAGTTACAAAAATTATGATGAATATGAATACTATCATATACTAAGATTTTGGATTGAAAAATCAAATCAAAAACGTCATCCTTAACGTCAAATGATATATTTCTCTATTAAAGATCGTTTTATTATCCAATATCAAGATCTAACACATTCTGAAGAATTAAGGTATCATTATACTCAGCGTTAAGGTTTCAGTACTAATAAAAATATTGGAGATATCTTTGATGGGTCAAGATATCATGATCTTTTATCTAATGGTTTCTTCCAAAATGATTGAGATATTACATTAACTGTTTCTGTTGATGGTTATCAAATCTTCTGACAAAAAACTGATGATTGCTGGATAGTTCTAATGATTAATGCAAATATCTACCCAGATAACTATGTTAAAAAGAGAATATGATGATTACAGCCATCATATCAGGTCCAAAAGAATCCAAATACTTCAATTCATTTATGCATCCTATAGTTAAGGAATTAAAGAAGCTTGAAGGTATATTAATATATTATTATTATCTTTTATTATTATATTTAAATAATGTTTAATTATTTAGTAATTTTCATAATCATTAAATGGAATACATTACTATGATGGATTAAAAGAGGAATCTTTTTTATTACACGCATATGTTTTGTTATAGTCAGAAGACATGCCTGGTTTAACAAAACTTATGAACCTTACTGAACATTATTCTTATAAAGGATGTCATTGTTATGATATTTGGGGCATTTATATAAACCATATATATTTTCCAATGATACCTTCAACAAGCAAGAAAGAATGTAAAGTATATGATCCTAAAAACTTACCTTTACATACTCATAGACAATTTAAAGATCATATTCGTCAACTGAATCAAACATTTACATCTAAAAGAAAAGATGAATTAACAACACAATTTGGTATGTTTAATTCTCAATATAAATAAATATATATATATTATATAAACTAATTTAATGCAAATATAATCACTTTTAAATAATAGGAATAAAGGAACGCAATATATTGTTTAATTTAAAAGCGATTCAATTTCAACTTTCTTTTCTGATTGATTTTATGCATCTTATTTATGAAAATATCACTGGCTATATGTTTAAGCTTTAGACTGAAAATTTTTTTTCAAATGGTAATGATAATAATGATTATGTACTTAATAAAACTATATGGAAAGAAATAGGAATTAAAATACATTATATTTGTAAGACCATTCTATCTTATTTTGAATGATCACCGCATAATATATTTCTTTATCATAATGGATATAAAGCTGAGGAATGGGCTACATGGATAACATTATACTCTTTACCTCTTTTAAAAGAATGAATGCCAATAAGACATTATATAGAATGGGCTAATTTTATTAGTGCTATACGTTTATGTCAAAAATTAACATTAACAGCACAAGATATAAGAGATATCTGATACTTATTTATTTTTTTTACAAATATTATAAAAGGTAAAGATTATTAAATGATATTAATTTAAATATATATTGATATTATTTAATTAATTAATTATTTATTTATTTATTACTTAGAGAATATTACTGTGGTTAAGAAGTATGCATTAGTACAATGAAACTATGTTTTTATAACATATTACATATAGCTGATAGTATTGAAAATACTGGTCCATGTTGGGCCACTTGGCAATTCCCAATGGAACAAATGTGTAGGATGCTTATTTCTTTAGCTCAATCTTGACTTCACTCTTATAAAAATATAATCAATAATGTTCACATTTGGGAATTATTCAATTATTTGCAATTTTATCAAACCATTTATAAAGAAGTTTTTCCTCTTCAACAAAGCAAACATTATGAAAGTCATCTTATATTTTCTCAACCTAAAACAGATGAAAAGTTATATTTTCTATCAAGAAAATATAAACTCAATTAAAAAAAATAAAAGAGCATTTTTCTGTTTATTATAATATTACTAATCGAAAACTTAAGGTAAAGTTTTATTTTATTTTTAATTTCAATAATGATTTGTATTTAATTATGATTTATAGACTTTTTTGATAAATAGTACAATATATGGACGCTTATATATAAAAAATAGATATTACATTAGTTCAAAATAGATTAAAAAGAATTCGAACTAACTATTCAGTTCTGGTGTATATCTAATTGATGAGTATTTATGTTTATAATCAAATTACTGATTCAGTTTATATAGGCTATTATAGAAGTAGATAAATAGGCTGCCTTTCCAAAAAAACCTTCTAAATTTATATTACAAAAATTTTATGGTAATGTTGAATGTTATTTGACTTATGAATTTGACAGAAGAATTCATATGTTAGCATATATCCATTGGGCAACAAATATTAAAAAGGATAATGTTGGACTTTTGTCATTTTCAAGATATAGTATATATGAATTTATTGATATTTTTGCAATTGATCATTGTGTAGAGTTCTTTAATCTTAATGGAATATATTATATAATAGATAAAGAATTTGAATAATTATTATTCATTTTATATTCTTGTACATATTTTTTTTTACAATTTATAGATGTTCTTTATATGTTAATTATGTAATATACATTATTTATACATTTATTTAAAATGATAGGATAATCATTGTATATTTTGTTTAATTTAAAAAAGTCGATTTTAAAATTATGGTTAATTCATAAACAAATAATAAACATGTTAGACATTATATGAATAAATATGTTATAATATATACAATTTATGGATACTGAGATTTTATAGGGATAGTGTTAACATTTTATGAGGTATTTCGAATTTCTGTAGTAATTCATGTAATAGTTGATTGTTAAAATTTGTACTATAATCAGTAAGTATTTTTTTAAGACATCTATGTCTGCAAATTATATCTTTGTATACAAATTGTACGGTTGTTTTAGCATCATTATGTCTTACAGGTTTAGCTTCTGACCATTTAGTTTTATAATATATAGCAATGATTATGTATTTATTTCCTTTACTTGAAGCTAGTAAAGGTCTAATGTAATCTATTCCAATACAATGAAAAGGTTGTCAAATAGGTATAAGATGTAGAGGTTCTATCCTTGAAGCTCTTTCTCTTTTCTGACAAGAGTTACATGATTGTACATAGTTCTTGATATCTTTAAACATTTGAGGCCAATAAAAACATTTTCTAATTTTCTCCATCATCTTTTCTTTTGAACTATGAGCGGTAGTTGGATCATTGTAAAACATGTAAAGTGCAGGTTTTAATTCTGTTTTCTTGAATACTCTAATTGGGTTACTTGGGTTGTTTTTGTTAATTTTGTATAGTAAATTATATTTGATAATATAATACTTTGATAGTATGGTTAATTTGTGTTGTTGTATTTGATTAAAGGTAGTGGAGTAGGTTTGGCTGATTAAATAATTAAATAGTTGATTATATTGTTATTCTTCCATGGTTAAGAATTTAAGCTGTTTATCACATTGTAAACACTTTTGCTTTCACTCAATTCTGGTGTTATATTAATGGTTGATTTAATAAGAAGGGAAAGGAATGCATTATCAATGTCACCAAGGTGAAAGTGTAATTGTGTATGAAGGTTTTCCTGTTATACTAAGAGAGGTTCTTCGCACCAGAGGTCATTAATCAAATATTATAGTTTTATGTCCAGTTGGATTTTTCCTAAACCATATCCAATAACACAGTTATGAATAATAGTTCTGTATAATAAATTTTCTTGCATGCTTTGCAATATGTTTGTAGACCCAAGTGGTAGGAAATTTATTACTAATAAAGAGGCTGAAAAATGGGATCGTGAACATCAAGCAAAGCACCTCACAGCAGATCCTGATGAAGCTAGGCTTCCAACATTAGCTGAGATTGAGCAGAAAGAAGAAAAGAATAAGCAGGAGTATATAGAGAACCTTTCACCTGCTGAAAGATAAGAATATGAACTAGAAAAGGAATATGCTTCTGGAAAACATTTTAGATCGATTTATAAAGAGGATGATAATGAAATAGAGGTTGAGCCTCCTGAAGGGGATATAGTATTCTTAGAAAGGCAACGTGATCCTGACAGACAACATAGATTACTAAAAAATATAACAGTATGGGAGGGAACTGTTCCTTCATGTAAAAATCCTGCATATGCTTTCAATAAAAAGCAGAATAATTCAAAAGAATATGCAGATGCCTCATACATGCCACAGCTTATGGCTTCATCACATGAGGCAATTACAAGCGTTCTCCAAAAAGAGCTTCGCAAAAAAGATCAAATAAAATCAGTACTGATCATATATGCTACATATATGAAATATAAATATAAAGGAATGGGTGATATTAGCGATCTAGCAAACTATAAAATCAGTTATCACCATCCATACTATAGAGGCTTACAGCATGAAATCCTTTCTGAGAGATATATAGATGAGCACATAACTCGTTCTGGAGTAGAAATTGATAAAAAGATCAAAACATATCTAAAAGAAGAATCTGGCAAGATCCTTTTCTGAATTGAGATGATATTGATTGAATCTTATACTTTTCGTCGTGCTCTTGAAGGATCATATATCCCTACTTCCAAAAAGCTCGCCAATAAAAAATGTACTATCAATCCAGATAATTCAGATATTATTGATCCAGCTACAGGCAAACCAACAGATAATTGTCTTTAGGGAGCATTAGGATGTTATTTCGCATATCAAGACAGAAAACAGACCATCTTGGCAGACGCATATATCAGATAAAAAGTTT